TAATGCTTTACAACCCCTTCCATGGAAAAATTTTTCCTAATATCCAATCTAAACATCACCTGGTGTGATTTGAGGCCATTTCCTCTCCTCCTGTCACTTGTCCTTTCCCTGAAGCAAAGAGCTGGGAGGTGGCTGAGCCCTGATGGGCTCCCGGCTGGGGAGCTCCAACTCTCTCCCTAAGGAGATGAGAAGGAAGTTTCTCCCTGGAGGATTGGTTTTGGCAGAGATCACAGGGGAATTTATCCTTGTTGGCCAAGAAACCCTGGGGTGCCCTGGCCCCACCACCTGCCCCTTCATGAGCTGGGGAAACCCTGGTTTGTGGCTCCCCAGGCAGCCTTTGCTTCCCAGCTCTGGGCTGTGGGTGACCCAGGGAAGGCTCAGGTGAGATCCAACCCAGCTGTTCATCCATCTAACAGGTTTTGTGTTCCTACTCGTGCCTGTGCTGCTTTTCCTGCCCTAGCAATCTGCAAATTGTAGCTGCTTGACCAGAGAACGAGCCCCTTTCACTTTGGCTCCCTGGGCTTGTGCGTGTGCCCCGTGCTCCCTCTTTTCCCCCAGTTTCTTTTCCTACAGCCTGAAGTGACTTCCAGAGGTTTAAAAAGTAAATTCAAATGAAAGCCTGGCAGGGGAAAACTGCTTGGGGTTTTTACCTGGGGTTTATTCTGTCTGGGAGGTTGCTGAAGGGCTGCATGAGGGTGCTCAGGGCAGCCCGTGCCCTGTGCCCCTGCCCTGAGCCCTTTCTGCTGCCTGTGGGGAGCAGAGACAAATGCACACACCTCCCCGAAGCTGGAAATAACCTCCAAAATGTTGCTTAGCCTGAGGAAAAGGAGGCTCAAGGGAGACCTTGTTGCACTCTACAGCTGCCAGACAGGAGGTTGTGGCGAGGGGGGGTCGAGCTCTGCTCCCAGGGAACAAGTCACAGGACAAGAGGAAACGGCCTCAAGCTGTGCCGGGGGAGGGTCAGGTTGGACATCAGGAAGAATTTCTGCACAGAAAGGGTGGTCAGGCATTGGAAGGGGCTGCCCAGGGAGGTGGGGGTGTCCAAGGAAGGACTGGACGTGGCACACAGTGCTCTGGGCTGGGGGACAAGGTGGGGATTTGGCACAGGGTGGACTCGATGACCTTGGAGGTCTTTTCTAATCTCAGTGATTCTGGGAAAATAATTTGTAAGAGTTTTCTGCAAACAGACCCTAATGCACTGTCTGTGCTGTGAGCAAGCTTGGGCTTGTACTGGCAGCTCACACCAGCCCCATGGGGCTGGAGGGGAGTCACTGGCCCCTCCACAGGGTTTCTCTGTGACCTCAAGCGAGTTCCTCGTGCCTCCAGGTCAGTGGGTGTTGCAGGGTGTTGTCTCCCCATCGCTGAGGGGACACCCAGCATCCCACAGTGGTCACCCAGCAGAGGTGTGAGCGTGGGAGGGGGGGTATCCTCCCAGACCAGCTGAGCCAGGAGCTGCCAAACCCAGCCTGGCTGGCACATGGAGGAGGGGGCAAAGCTCCAGCACCTTGGCACTGAGCTGCTCCAGGATGAGGGCTTTATCCCTGGCTGTGAAGGTGGAGAGGCAGCTACACTCACCCCAGGCCAAATACCCCCTTGTGTGTGTGTGTGAAGGCTGAGGGACAGCAGGGACCTGCTTGAATCCCTCCTCACTTTGTTCAGAGCAGGGTTTGAAGCCTCACCAACCCTGTGCCGTGGGCTTTCCCTGCCTGCACTGGGCTGGCACTGCTGGATCTGGAGCCACAAGTGGGTTGAAGCCTTCCTAGGGGGATAGAGGAGGAAAATCATAGCTTGGGGTCTTGTGGGTTTCCCTCATGGAGCAGTGAGCAGTGAGTGCACTGGATGGGCTCTCCCACCACAGGGGAAATGGGTGGGATGAGTCTGAGTGGGAGGATCCCACCTGTACAGGAGGGGCACAGGTTGGTGCCAGGTGCTTTGGTGGGCACCAAAGTGCTGTTTGAGCTGGGACTGTGGCACGTTCAGCTAGGACATAAAGAATTATGTCTATGTATATATGTGTGTATGGACAGCAAAAGGTATGGCAGCACTGCCTGAGTGAAGGGAAGGTGGTTTGGGTGCAAACATCCAAACATCAGGAGATTTGGATTGGTTAAATGTGTTGCAGCTGTAAAGGGAAACTGTCAGTTCAGCTGTTTTGTGGGAAAAAGTGTAAAAGTGGGTGTGTGTTGGGACATGGGAGTGCCAGCACAGCCCCCTGAACACGGTGCTGGGTGGTCTCTGCTAAACCCTTCAGTGTGGATCTGGCCCACCTTGGCCACCTCCTGCCACATCCCAGCACCCTGCACATCCCAGGCAGTTCCTGCAGGCCTGGGCTGGGCCACCCACCCCCCAGCCTTTCCCACAGCATCCCCCTCATTTCCTTGGCTAAAAAAAGCTGTTTCTTCCAGCGCAGAGCACGCAGGAAAATCCCCACCTGCTCTGCCCCCAGCCCCTCTAATCCCTTTATGGTGTTTGTGCCGATCCTGCTCTTTGCCTTCCCTCTAATCTCCCCACCCAGCTGTTTGGCAGGACACAAACCACCGTGGGCTGTTCGGATCAAACCCAGGGAGAGGGAATGTTCCCACATGGGGTCCCTGGCCCAGGGCTCCAGGAGGTGCTTCGGGGGTTTAACAACCAGGGACAACCCCCCTCGGTTCTGAGCAGCATCCTGAATCCTGGAGGATAATTCAGAGTGAAAACCAAAGTCTCCAGCCAATATCCCTGCTTTCCAGTGTGCCCAGGGATGATCCCTCTTGGGCAAGGGTGGGGAGGGGTCTGACAGCCCTCTGCCCCTCTTGTAGCTGGGATGAAGGTGTTAAAAGTCACCCCAGGAGGTAAATTAGTCCATGTTTTACCCCTCCGTGGTAAAACTTGTTGTGTGACTGAAGATTTTCAATCTGGAAAATTTGCTGTTAGAGCAAATAATCTTTGGTGTATCTTGGCAAGGCTGGAAAACTCTTGGGCTGATAAAGCCTCAAAGTCAGAGAGATAAAAGCTCTGTTATTGATCTATTATAAGTAATGCATTATATTGAAAGTATTTAGGCCTTGGCCAGGTCTCCCCAGGAGGGTTCTCCAGGCATTGCTGCCTGCAGATTGATGGCCATCACCCCAAAAAAATAGATGGTGGGAAAGTTGCTGCCTCCTGCACGGCCTGCAGCTGCTGGGTGATCCCTGTGGATACTGGGATGGTGTCCCAGCTGCCACAGTGGAAGTGATGGTTGGCCTGGGCTGTAGCAGCAAAGCAGAATGAGCTTCTCTTCCTTCTGTCCTTTATCTCCAGAAACCCTTCTGTGCTGTGCCACAGCTCTGAAAGGGCTTCAGCAAAGTCCTCTGGAGACTTAATCTGTGAGCTTTTCCTTCCACAAGGACACCTCTGCTCCCTTCCTGCCCTCAGCTCCGACCTTGGGCCAGTCACTGATCCCTGAGCCGGGAGCCTCGTGGTGGTTAATATTTGCTGTACCTGGGGCAGAGGGAACCTTCTGATTGTGAGGAGCGTGGGCTTGTTTGGGGGTAAAATGTTGTCCAAGAGGCTCTAGGATTCAGGTGTGAATTGTGTTTGGCATTGCCAGTGTAACAGAGTTGATGCTACAGAAATGGCTGGAATTAGACTGCGGTGAGGTAAGACTTGATCCCAAGAAAAACTGACTAAGCAGGTGCCCACCACTGTATGGCAGAAACACTTTTTCCTGCTTACTAAAACCCTTTTGGGTAGGAAATAATTTTGTACATTTGGCAAGCTGCCTCGGGTGTGGTGTTTGGGCAGGGGTGGGACCATGGTGCTTGGAGACATGGGTTAGTGGTGGCCTTGGCAGTGCCAGGGAATAGTTGGACTTCATGATCCCAGAGGTCTTTTCCAGCCTAAATGGTTCAGTGATTCCACAGCTGTGCATCCATAGGCTGCTGTCAGCCCTGCTGCCCCAAACAGCCACAAACACACAGTGTTTGTCCTCCCAGGGCCGGGTGGGCTTTGACCAGGTAAGGGATTATTGGTGTTTGTTCTGCCTTCCCTGTTTGGGTGCTTTGGTGCTCCGTGATTGCAGCCATCCACAGAGGAGCTCTGCTCCCTAATCCAGGTTACTGGTGAGCATTACCACTGCCTGGATTTCATTTTTCCATTGTTCTGAGCCCACTCAAGCTGTGGGGTGTTATTGCACAGGAGGGCACATCCAGGGCTTTCTCTGGGAATAAAATGAGGCTGTCCCATACCTTTACTCAGGGAGGTGTGGGGATCTGGCACATGGACACACATGTTGCTGGTCCTGCTGTCTGCTGAAGGATGCAGCACATCAGGCTCTGGTGAGGTCTCTCACCTCTCCCCGGGACGGGTTTGAGATGCTTCCCAAAGGATGCAGATCCATCTCTGTGCTTCCTGATTGCATGAAAGCTCAGCATCAGACCCTGCTGAGGCCAGTCCCGTGGGCTGCAGGTCCCCAGGCAGGACAGAAATGGGAACAGGGAGCCCAGGACCCAGCAGAGCCGCTGGTCCCTCCACCCCCGCGCCGGCTCGGGCATGTGTTGCAGCGGCTCCAGGAAACGCTGCTGCACACCCAGGGGTACATTTCCTCCTGCCCTGGGATGATTTCCAAACAGGAATGAGGAAATGCTGAGCTTTGCAAGCACACTCGTGGATGTGTCCCTAAAATACCCTGTGGAGGGAGGCGGCTGCTTTCGAGCTGCACCCCAGTTTCAGCTGCAGGAGGCCCTGCATGTCACCCGGGCAGCACCGAGGGCACGGGTGACACAGAGGAGACCCCCCTGCTGCTCTGGGGGACCTCGGGCACATCCCTGGGTGCCAACCTCCTTCCCAGGAGCTCTGCTTGGGGCCGTGCCCGTGAGCAGTGGGGTGGGTGACGTCTGGCCTGCCCGCAGCCCTCTGTTACTGATGTCACTGCCCGGGCACCAAAATTGCTAATTAAGTTCTGCTTCTCTGGCTGCCAATCTCATTTCCTGGTTCTTGTGCAATCCCAAATGGTTTCAGGTTTCTTCCCGGTTCTTTATCTGCCTGCGGGACCAAAACACCTTCAGAAGAAAAACAGAGCTGGGGTTTTGGGTGAGTGCCTGGGGAGGAGACGTCCTGGGGGGGGCAATCAACCGTAAATGGGTTTTTTTTTTAGCTGCTCTGGTGCAGATGTTTCATTGTCTTGCAGAAAAACATTCCTGAGGGTGATTCAGACTCAAGCATGAGTCTGCCTTAAGGACCGGGGGAATTAGCAAAAACCCAACTGCTTTGGAGCCCAGTCATCCTTTAAAGCCTTTTCTCCTTTTGTAACATCGGAAAACTGCTTAAAAACCAAGGGTGGAGAGCCACGAAAAACTACTTAAAAACCGAGGCTGGAGAGTCGCGGTGCCCTCACCCCTCCGGGTTTGCTGGGGGGTTGTTCGAAATCCTGCTCTCCTCCTAGAAAAAAAATACCCGAGTATTTGAGATAACGCCGGAGGCGCCGGCACGGGCTGTTTGTGTCTGTGCCGGTTGCGCGCTGGCACCTTTGGGGTCTGTCTGCCCTGACACGTGGGAGCCTCTAACGCAGGATCTATGGAAAACTGGGAAGGCAGCGGCGCGTTTAATTCATTCTAATTGGATCTGCGTTCGGCTCAGTAGCTGGAAATTGCTGCTATATTGAAATAATCGACTCAAATTCACACACCTGTTGGCTGGGGATTTTTAGCTGACTGTAAATCACATCAGGGCCACTGCGGCGCGGGGATGGTTTGGGGGTTTAAAGGTACTTTACTACGCTCTGGTGCTTAAAAATTGTACTTAAGCTCAACGGTTTATAGTTGAGAAGGGCTAAAGTGGGAGATTTTAGTGTTTTCCCAGTAGTTCTCTCTGGAGTCCTCAGCCTTTCCTTCCTTTGAAGGAAAGCCCGGGGGGCAAACACAGCCCTGCAGCCACGGGGGGCTGAAACCGGGTGGGCAGGAGTTGTCCCTGGGGTGTCCAGGGTAGGATGGGTGGAGATGCAGTGGTAGGACTGCCAGGCATCTCTCTGCCCCTGTCCCCAGGGATTTGGCTACTCCTATCCCCAGGGATTTGGCTGCCCTTGTCCTTGGGGATCTGGCTGGTCCTGGTATCTCCAGGGCCACCCAGGCACCCGGATCCATTCCCAGGCATCCCACCTGCACAGGGCATGGTCCCAGAGAGGCTTTTGGGGTGCTGGGGGGAGCAGCTTCCCCAACTCTCACCCCACAGCACTGTAGCAGGGCTGGGGGGGAAAATACCTGCCCGCGTGTAAGGAGGCGACCCTATATAAACAAAGCACCAGGGGACACAGGCAGCGAGAGGGCAGGAGGTAGAAAACAGGATTTTCAGTGATTAATACTCCTTATTTTAAAATAAATACTAAGTTATTTAGCCAATAACTCGCAGTTTTTTTAAAATAAAGTGATGTTTTAGCCGTATGACAACCGTTGCTTTCAATAAGTCACATTTCAGTTTGAGAAAGAAAACGATGCTAAACGCGTTTAGAGGGTGTCCCTGGGGGTGGGGGCCGGGGCCCGGCGCTGCCGCCCCGGGGGAGGAGCCGCCTCCGCCCCCGCCCCGACCGCGGGCGCGTATAAAGCGCGGGCTGAGCGGGCGCGGGCAGCGCTGGGGCCGGTGAGCGCCGGGGCCGCGGGTTCGAGTCCCGCGGGGGGACGACACTCGGCTTGGAGTTGGGGGGAGAGGGGCTGGGGTGGCTTATTTTGGGGTAGGAGGTTGGTTTGCGAAGGAAGTGGGCCGGGAGTGATGTGGCTGTCACCCTCGCAGGGCCGTCGCCATGTCGGTGTCACACAGCTCCAGGCTGAACAAGCTGGTGCGGGAGCAGTACATGAGGCTGCCCCAGGATGGGAAGGTGCAGGTCACCTACGTCTGGATCGACGGCAGCGGCGAGGGCGTGCGCTGCAAGAGCAGGACCCTCGACAAGGAGCCCAAGAGCATCGAAGGTACCGCCGCTGCTTATCCCTCTGGGTGATGGGTGGCATCCTAGTGGGCCCTGAGCATCGCCTGGGAAGAGTTCTGCGGTGCTTTGGGCAGGGGGAGTTGGCACTTGCTCTCCCTGGTTGCGTGGCACGGGTGATACCTGTCGCAGTTGTCTCGTGGGGTTACAGCAAGTGGCAGGGTAAACACCCAACCTGCGTCGCTGAGGTTTCCTTAATCCGTTAATGAAGGGGAGGAGGAGTTCCTCGCCCATTCCCACCAGGCAAACAGGCACGGGGACCTGTTGGCATCTGGATGGGGTTTGGCAGAGGGAGGTGAAGGGGCTGGGACTGATCCTGCCTATGCTTGATGGTGTTGGGGGAAAAGAACACACTGGTGCTCAGGGAGCTCCGGGGATGTGCAGGGAAACCTTTGTGGCTGTCACCCCGTGGCACTTGATGCCCTTTGGGTGTTCCATCCTGGGTCTGAGCCACCAGCACGCGGCTCAATCCACATGTGATGTACCTCTTCCCAACCCTGCTCCCCCCTCTATCCCCCTTCTGCCTCTCAGACGTCCCCGAGTGGAATTTCGACGGCTCCAGCACGGCACAGGCAGAGGGCTCCAACAGCGACATGTTCCTCGTGCCCGTCTGCATGTTCAGGGACCCTTTTTGCCTGGACCCCAACAAGCTGGTGCTTTGTGAAGTGCTCAAGTACAACAGGAAACCCGCAGGTGAGCACCTCCAGCGTGCACCCCCCCGGCTCCCGAGGGTCACCCATTTATTATTTAGGGTGCCATATCCCCAAGGGGCCACTTGCCACGGACCACTGGCCCTGGGGCACCGAGCTCTTGGCCCCAGGCTCTGAAATCCAAGGGCTGGTGGCGGCGGTTGTTTGCAGGAACTTGTTTCAGTGGCGTGGGGTGAGGAGGAGAGCAGCGAGACGTGGAGCTCAAGGCCAAAGGCGTCGCCCGGGTTTTGAGCTGAGCACACCCAGCCCGGGGTGGGGGTTACCGCGGGGGAGCAGGAGCTGGGTTTTTACATGCCGGGTTCGCGGTTGCTCTCCTCGTTGGTGGGAGGCTGCGGAAAAGGAGGAAGAATGTGCCGGGCTGGCTCGGGGTGACCTTTTGCAAGCAGCCCCCGAGCGCCGGCTCTGGGCTTATCACGGCGAGCAGGAGCCTGCAGTGCCGAGTCCGTCCCGTGCCTCTGATAAAGCCCCAGACACAGGAAGGGGAGCCGGTTTGCAGGACACGCTGAGGGGCTCCCAGGGGGGTTGTTTGCCAGCAAATAACCGGTTTTTTGCCAGTCCAGCAGGGCTGCGGCCCCGCTCAGCGTGAGGGGGAGGGTGATGCACACATCTGCCGGGAGGGGGGATCCTGCGGGCGGCGATGGCGAAAGACGGGGCTGGTTCCTCCTCAGACAGCCTGTCGGCCACGGGGGAAGCGTCTCGGTCGAGATTCCTGCCCGGCAGCTCCTCTGCAGGAGCAATTTGTAAAGCCCTGGAGTTGAAGCTGGGGCAGAGAGCTCAGCCCAGAGCCCCAGAGGTGAGAGGGGCGCACCCTCCGGGCTTTCCCAGGATGGGTTTCTGTGGATATTAAGGGCTGTGTGGACCCGGGACCTTTCCCCCTCCTCCCGTCAGTGGAAGGGAGATGCCCCTGCTTCCCTCCAGCCCTGCACTCCGGACATGTGTTGTAGCTGCTCTGGGGCTTTTATTGCAAGTTAAGGCAGAATGTGCACCCTGGAGGCTGCCTGCCCACGTGACAGAAGTTTTTCAGCCTTCTTTTCCTCCTCTGTCTCCGTCTCCGTCCAAGCTCTCATTCCACTGTCCTGGCACGTTGTCTCATGTCAGGATGGTTCCTTGATATCTGTGTTTTCCTGGCAAAGCCCCAGTTGCCCTGAGCACCTCGAAGGGATGAGGCAGGGCCAGCCAGCTTGGATGCCAACCAAAGCCATGGAGCTGGAAAAGATAAGGATAATTAAGATGAAGTTGGTAGGAAGAGGATGGGGGTGAGTTAGTGGTGGAAGATATACAGTCCCTGTTCCCAAGTCTGCTGGATGCCTGTAACACAGGGCTGGGATGTGGCTCCTGGTCTGAGAGAGAGAGAATAAGAGGAGAGCATAAGAGGAGGAGGAGGATGTTCATGGAGCATTGACAGTGGTTTGGGGAATAGGCTAATTAAACCCTCTTGGCCTGTGGCCTGATGCTCTGGTGATGGACTAACTGTAAGGAGGAAACCAGTGAGCAGGAAGGAGGTTTCCTTGAGGCTTCTGTGGGAAGCACTTGGCAGTGGTGGACCCTCCATCTCTGAGTGGGGTGGAGCAGAGTGTGGGGGACACCTGCTCACAGCTGGGTCTAACCTGGACCTCTCTGCTCCCAGAGACCAACCTGAGACACACGTGCAAGAAAGTCATGGACTTGGTGAAGGACAGCCACCCCTGGTTTGGGATGGAGCAGGAGTACACGCTGCTGGGAATCAACGGCCACCCCTACGGCTGGCCCGACAACGGCTTCCCCGGCCCGCAGGGTGAGTGCCCCCTCCCTGCCCCAGCCCAAATGCTCCCTCAGCTCCCACCCTGCTGCTGGGGGATGCTGCCACTTGTGTGCTGCTTTCCCATTGCAGCTGACACGGGGCAGGGTCTGGGATGGGGTTGGGAGCTGGGAGAGCACCTGGTGCCCCGTGGCTCACGTGAGCTCACCGGCCAGACCCGGGTTGCACAAACAGCTCAGCTGCACGACTTGTTTGGCAAGGGCTGGAGAACTGGGCTGGAAAAGCCTCCTCCCCGTGGCTGTTGGGGAAAGGGCTTGGCCTGGCATAGCAGCAAGCCAGCTCCTCAGATGCCTCCTGGCAGAGGGAAGGGGATTTCCCAACCTGGCTTTTGTTTGGACCAGTTGCTACCAACATCCCCCTTCCCCCAGGAGGGAGATCTTCTCCTAACCTGCTTGAATGAGAAAGAGCCATATATCAAACCCTGGCAAGCTGAATTTTCTAGCCATGAACAATGCTGGCTGTTTTCAGAACAATCTCAGATGCCTGATGTGCTCAGAGGGTCAGTGAGGTGCCTCGGGGCAGACCAAGCCCAGCTTTCCTTATCTCCTGGCCACATCCCTTATCTCCTGGCCACCTCTAGGTTGATGCATTACAAGTCCTGTTTAACTGCCCAGATAAGGCTGAGGTTGCTCTGATGAACTGCTCAGCTGCTGCTCCTGGGGTTGGGGTCGATGTCCCATGGAGCGCAACAGCATTTTAATTCCCATAAATCCTCTGCCCATGGCAGCGAGTACCCGGGAGTGTGGGATTATGCTGCAGTGGTGTTGTTGCTCCCCAAGAGCCTTGCTTGGGTGGTGATTCCTTGCTCCTTTCCAGGCCCCTACTACTGTGGGGTTGGAGCAGATAAGGTGTACGGGCGCGATATCGTGGAGTCCCACTACAAGGCATGTCTGTACGCGGGGGTGAAGATCTGCGGCACCAACGCAGAGGTGATGCCCTCCCAGGTACGTGTGGGTGGCCCCCTGCAGCCCATTTCCCACGATGGATACAAGTTATCATGAGGCTGGAACAACCCAGCAACTCCCAGCTCCTCTGGAACACTGAGTCCAGTGACTCCCCGCGTCGGTTTTGCCTAGATGGGAGCAGTAGCACTGCCAGGATGAAAATGTACGTTTGATTTTCTCCTTGCAGAGCTGGTGTAGAGCTGGGAGCTCCCCCGTGCCTCCCCTCCCTGGCGGAGCAGGGATGCAGGGGATGGAGGAGCCAGGACAGGCTGTGGGAGCACCATGTGGAGTGATGGGTGTCTGAGTCCTGTTCTGCTACTTGGGAACTGGGAATCTGGGGTGTGATATGGCTTTGGGGAGTGGTTGGGAGGGATTTGGGTTTATTTTGGGGTTAGCAGGAGGGAGTCCCTGATTGCCTTAGGCAGGTGGCCAGACTGACTGACTGTGAATCGTTGGCTCCTGCTGCTGATGTGGTGGAGATAAGGGGGGGCTTGTCTGCCGTGGAGCTGAGGCAGGACTTTTAACCACCCTGCTGTTTGGCCTGACTTCTTCAGGGTCCTTCCTGGCTGCTTTCTGCATCGTGGGCTTGGGCTCTGGCCGTGCCAGCAGCTGTAAATCTATCACCCTCTGCTTAATCACCGCGGGTGGTGCAACCCCGGCTCCAGCCAGGCAGGGAGCAGCCCTGGGAAGGACTAACAGGCTCCTCGTTAGTCCTCTGTCCTGTTTGCAGTCTGGGCTGGGGGTCCTGCACACCAGCAGCTCCAGCACCAGCCTCAGTCAGGCGTGGTGCTTATTTACCTCTGATTTGATTAAAAACCCCTCTGATTTGCTCTGTATAGTCACGAGTAGTTTATTCCCTTTTTTTTTTTTTGCTTGCCAAAGCTGTTCTGTTGCTTAATTCGGTGTTCCCCATCCTTGTTGCTGATTCCCAAGGGGTAACAATCAGCCATAGCCCAGGCTGGCAGCTCTCACTGGGGGTGGCAGGGACACCAACCTGCCCATCCTTACCCGTGCATCTGCTCTCCCCTTCCAGTGGGAATTCCAGGTGGGCCCGTGTGAAGGCATTGAGATGGGGGATCACCTGTGGATGGCTCGGTTCATCCTCCACCGTGTCTGTGAGGACTTTGGGGTTGTGGCTACGCTGGACCCCAAACCGATGACCGGCAACTGGAACGGTGCCGGGTGTCACACCAACTACAGCACCGAGGAGATGCGGAGAGAAGGGGGTCTCAAGTGAGTCCTGAGGGGTCCCCTGGGATGTACCTGGGAGGTTGGGGTGTCCTTGGCCATGTGGAAATGTGTATCTCCCTACCTGGGTGGCTGCACCTGGGTTGGAGCTGTCCCAGCTCATTATTTTAAAAGCAGCTGGTGGTATGAGAGTGTCCCCTGGGCTGTTCTTGTCCCTGCACAGGAGGAGGGGGTGACAGCCTTCCTGACCAT